CTCTTTGTGGCTTTCAACAAGGTGTGCACGGCACAGTACTTTGTATGGTACCTCGCGCTGCTACCATTGGCGTTGGGCCAACTCAAGCCCACTGTGAGCAAAACTTGGCTACTGGCACTTGGAGGTGGGCCGGGTCTGCATGATGTCATGACGTTAATCACCTCTCGTTGTGATCGTCTTTACCGCACCTCTGCTGGTCAATTGGATATTTCTCAGTATTATGGTTGTCAACTGAAGGTCTCTGGTTGTTCTTTGCGTATGAACTCGAGTTCGAGGGGAAGAATACGTAAGTCGGACCGCTTACTCCTGAGTGCCTCCATCAGATTGCGCTGCTGTGTGAAGGTTCATTGAGCTTTTCGGAGCTTCGACGCTCTTCTTTGCTGCTCATATAGCGATAGCATGTACGTTCATTGCCAACTACGATTGGCATGTATCAGCCGTGAATGATGATCACCGAAAGGGTGCCGCCCCCAAGATGAAGATGGGGAATAAGGCTAAGGAGTCTAAGAAGTGCAAGTGATCGCTTTGTTAAGTCGTTGTACACTAGGAGGTCTGCAGCGTTTCTATGCTTTGGTGCATGTGTTTGATTCTGTCAATGCCATGTGAGAAGATAGAGCACCAGACTTTTGTAGGACTCCTCAGGAGTATCCAGGACTAACATCGACCCGCATCGATGATATTCCAGTTAGGAGCACGAAGGCTCGAGGTTACTTTGGTATATGTGCCGCTGACCTGTCGTTTGCTACAGGGCGTCTGATTGTCGTTATAGGATATTTCAACTGATGATTGTAGGTTCCTTTCACTCAGTGAAATTCACTACACCTCTGATGAGTTGTTAATTGCCCCACGGCTTGACCTTCATAATATTGGTCATTTTAGAATTGCGAGTTATGTGAGAATACAGCAAGGAACTCGACAAGGCACAGTAGAAAAAGTTACCTCACATGTTCAGAATGTTGAACAGAATAGGACAGCATTATTATGAATAATCACTCCAGAAACACTCCGGTACTTCTCAAGCGGTGACACCTATGCGGCTGTCACCGGCAATGGGAGACGGCAAGCATGTCGGAGCATGATCAGAGCAGTGAATACTGCCAAACCACCCCCTTGGTGTAGAACTCCTGAGTGTGAGCAGCAACACATTCACCATAGAAAGGATCACTGAATGCTCACCTAGTTCTGTGGGGACATACATTAGTAAAGTTGAGATGCCGAGTAGCATCTGCACGATCGAGAGATGACTCGTTGAAAGAGCCGCTCTATAAGCACTCTTAGGGATGGACTGAATATGGTTTATGACGAGATGGAGCTCAATAAAAATATCTCACATCCTTCATCCTCCGGGCGTAGATACCGAGGAGAACAGACGAGATAACGGTCGAGTATGCCAAACAACGATGATTGAATTGGACAACTGCTGTATTCTCCGTGGCGGCTAGCCACTGAGGCTGTCCAGTAGAGATCAGATCACCTACAAGCCGGGACTTCTGAGACTTGAATCGGGCTAGGATCTCACCCCAGAACCTCCATGCTTCATCGGGCACCCAGTCATCGATCATCTTGGGCCACGTGTTGAAAGCTCGTCCAGCGTCCAAACCTGTGCAGTATAAATTACCGATGGAATACAAGCAATCACGGTATCCCAGTCGACTCACCGGCAACGAAAGGCCCGCTGGCGAGGGTAATCAAGGCTGCTAGAGTGGGTACGAGAGCCCAGCGCCTGAGTGACTTCAGAGCAGTAAGGGACGCCAACTTAGTTGATGCTGGAGTGGGTCTGAGTACTGACAAACCGCACCATACGGTACCTGAGAGGTTAACTCTGCTGTGAGGGTAACGATGGCGCTGAGAGCCACGGACCTCCATAGAGGAGCAGTGCCATTAGCCAGTGGAAGCACATGCGATAGCTG